CCTCTTGCCAATCTATAATAGAGTAAAGAATCATGAATTGGAAAAAAAAAAAAAAACCAGAAGCCCTTTCTTATTGTAATCAGAAGGATTAAAATAAAACACCCAAAACACAGAAAGTGTTTCCCTATAAACCGATAAACCTTCAAAGCCCTCTCTAGCTTTGGATGAGTCCCACAGACTGGATTTCATCCCTAGATATACTAAAATGTAAAGACAAAGCACTCTAGGAGAAGGAACTGAGGAAAATAATTTCATGAATTAGGAAATAGAAAGTGTACTTACCACACATAATCTAAGATGTTCAAAGTTCCTATTAAGTATTTGTGTACAGCCCATGAGGTGAGCAACTTGTTCTGAAATTATTGAAATAATGGAGAATTCTGTTGTTTCAATGTTAAAAACAGGAGATTAAAGTTAAACTGAAGAATGTTTCATGGGCAATTGCTAGCTTATCTTTGAAGCGACCTAAAGGTTTTCTCTTTACTTTTTACTAGTCCATTAAGTTACCAATGGCTCACATAGGGAATATAATGGATCAATATATATCTGTTCTTGATCATAAGTTCGATAGTATATGACACTATATGTATATGCAAGCATTTTATATATAATAACAAATTACTTTTATTTAGATGAGATTGTAAAATTCTATATAGCTGTTGTAGTTACCATTTCGTAACTGGTCCATTCTTGTGTTCTATGTTTGAAGAAAAGGGACCAATTTATAAATTTACAAAAAATTGATGCAGGTTAGAATTCAAAAGTACATATCTATATTTTTACAATCTAGTGTATTAATATATCAGCTCTATTTTTACATTAGCTCCAGGCGCAAGTAATGTATTAGACGCTAGTGTTGATCCTGTGAGTATCGATCCAAGTAAGTTCCAAGGATCTCTGCGCAAAGGAAATGGTGATAAAGACTCAAATTGCTGGGATTCTCCTAGTGGCATGGGGTTTATGATCAGGGGAAAGACCTACCTAAAAGATAATGCAAAGGTAACTTTGAAATTCTTGCATCTACTTTAATATTCTACAGTTGATTTCATACATCACTTGAAATGGAATAGAAAACAATGAAGGGTCTGTTTCTTAGATGCCACTGCACTCAGGTCATCCCTGACAGAACCATGAACTTCTTCTAATATACTGATTTTGGTTTCTTTAAATCTGTCAACTTAGTGTACTACTGCGTCTATTAATTTTCTAGATTGATTTCTGATTATGAACAATTTTGCTCTTGTATTGGATTATCTGAGAAGTGCATGGTTCTCTCATGTTAAATTGTGTTCAAATTTAATAAAATCTATTGTCCAATTTAAGGTGATGGGTGGGGAGCCCCTTCTAACACTTGTATCAGTGGATTGGTTCAAAGTTGATAAAGCTGTAGACAACATCGCCCTGCATCCAAAATGTCTTGTCCAGGTACTCCCTTGAGCCTTTGCGTCCTTCTCTCCTATTAAAAACCAGTATTAAGTGTGACTTGTCACCGTACCTCAATTTACCATGAGGTATTGTATATACCCTCTTTGCCTTGTGGCTAAGTCTGGTGATACTTTCTAAGTTATTGATGAGTTAAAGTGTGTTGGAAAAGTAAGAAGAAAACATACAAACATTATGTATATGGAAGTTTTCTCATATGGAAGAGCCTGATATGGAAGTTTTCTCATTCGTAGTCGGAACCTGGGAAAAAGCTGCCATTCATCCTAGTCATCAATCTTCAGGTGTGAATACTATCTGCAACATAAACTCTATATATATTTCAGTCTTTTTCCAAACGTTTGTTTGAGTAGGCGAGCGCTAATGTCCAATTAGAAAGTACCTCAACCCATACGTCTCAATACTAATATATGAGCTTTTATTTAAGATTGTGACGCTAAACCTCTTGTTCGTTTTTGTTTATTCGTAATTAACAATGTGCCACACGTATATCACTAATAGTTTATAATATTTTGGAATTATGATAGTACATACTACCATCACCAATCATTTTTCCCTACTTAAAGTCTATCTAACTCTAATATTTATTAGTAATTGTGGGTCAAGTTAGTCTCTGGAAGAAGTCAAAATGCTCTCTCTTTTTTTCCCTCTTCAGGTACCAGCAAAGCCTAACTATTGTCTGGTACTCTACTATGCTGCGAATCGTCCTGTAAGCAAGTCTTCATCCCTGGGAAAATTTGTGGATGGGAGTGACAGTTACCGTGACGCAAGATTTAAGCTGATCCCAAGTATTGTTCAGGTGAGGAAACTCTGCTTTTCTCGTGTCCACTGAAATATCATAAACTTAGTTACATTGTAACAGTCATGGTGAATCACAGGGATATTGGATGGTCAAGCGGGCTGTTGGAACTAAAGCCTGCCTGCTCGGTAAAGCTGTAACCTGCAAGTACCTGAGGCAGGATAATTTTTTGGAGGTACAAATAGTTTCTACTTCCCTCATTTACATGATAGATATGAACATTGTATTTCACTTATGATCTGGAAGTATCGATATTTCTCGTAAACCATAAAATAAACAGTACATGTCCAACATACAGAACAGACACATGACAATGTGGACAATCTCACACATGGTTGCTGCCTTATGAAATCGTGGTGTTGCAGATTGATGTAGATATTGGATCATCGGCTGTTGCGAGGAGCGTTATTGGTCTGGTCCTTGGTTATGTCACAAGCCTCATTGTTGATCTCGCCATCTTGATTGAGGTTTGTTTGGGGTCTCAACTGCTAGACTTATTATATCTTTAAACAAGAGTGCTTTAACATTTAGTTGAACATCTTTTTGAATGCGATCATCGGTTAAATGTTCAACTATCAAATACAAATGCAGGGAAAGGAGGAAACCGATTTGCCAGAGTATATCCTTGGGACGGTTCGACTTAACCGAATAGAGCTGGACTCAGCCGTATCGTTTGAGGTTTGAGATTTGATCGAGAATTTTATCAGATTGCAACAATGACATTGTCTTTCTTAAACTCATTGCAATCAAAAACTGCAGGAATGAGAACAGCCAGTGGCAACTAAAACATCTGTCTTATGGATTGCGACCCTTTGGCCAAATAGGGACCATAAATTCGACAAATGAATAATAAAAGATTGAACATTACAATTTTTTTTTCTTTTCTTTCAGAAAAGTTCTTTACTTATAAGTTGTAACCTAAAGCATCAACAAACGATGTGCTTTTGTCGTCACAAAACAATTAAGGAGCCATATATTTAACAATCCGAAACCAGGATTTTAGATATTGTAAGATTGGAATAGTGAAGATGTTTAGTTTTAACTTGGAATAGTTTATAAATGGTGGAACTATTTTTTTTTGGACAGTAAAATTAAAATAAAATGGTGATACATAAATAAACTTTGCGTGCGTCACAATAATATTTCGAAACAAGTATCTACATTATGGCTAAACAATCTTTCAATAAACGGGTTTCTTTTCTTGTTCTTGAAACTAATCTATATATAATAGCAATCTAATAAATACCATTTGCACATCTGAACGGTTGCGTCTTTTTGTCGCAACCTTTCGTTAATTTTTTTTTATAAACTAAAATAAATATTTTACGGTTATTTATTTTGTATAAATTGCATTCCGAATGTCTTCTACGGTTGTGTCTTTTTATTGTAACCGTTCTTAAACAGTTAAACCGCTTATTCGAATCATTGCAATATTTTGTTTATTTTACGAACAATTGCAATCTTTGGTTTATATATCTAGTTTATTTCACGAACAATTGCAACCTTTTTGGTTTATTTTATGTATAGGTATATTTACATTTAATTATCTACCGTCGAGTCTCTCGATATAACTTTTCATAAATTATTATATTTTATTTTTTATTTTTTAATGATCAAAATGTATTTAAATGAGATTGTAACCGTTTAATTGAACCGTTGCAACATTTAGTTTATTTGAAAAATCATTGCAATTTTTGGTTTTGTTTTATGAACCGTTGTAATCTTTAGTTTATTTGACGAACTTGACAAACCATTGCAATTTTTGGTATATCACAATATTTCGTTTATTTTTTTTTTAAACTAAAAAAATATATTTTACGTTATGTTTTTTGAGAAAGTTGCAATTTGAGTAAATGTTTTATACAGTTGCATCTTTTTATTGTAACTCTTCATAAAACGGTTGCAACCATTTAGTTGAACCTTTGCAACATTTAGTTTATTTCACGAACAATTGCAACTTTAAGTTTATTTTATAAATCTTCATAACATTTAATCATCTACCGTCAGTGTAACCTTTCGTAAATTATTATTTTTAATTCTTAATTTAAAATTATTAAAATGTATTTAAATGAGATTGTAACTATTTAATTGAATTGTTGCAATATTTGGATTATTTGACGAATCATTGCAACTTTTGGTTTTGTTTTTCAAACTATTGTAATCTTTAGTATATTTAACAAACCATTGCAATATATGGTATATTTGACGAACCGTTACAGATTTTGGTATATTTGATATCTACGGTCACGTCTCTCGGTTAAAGTTTGTCATATTTTGTAAAAAATATTTAATTACTAAAATATATTTAAATAAATTATTGTTACTGTTTAATAACATAGTAGCATTTGGTTTATTTGACGTTGAATATTTTGGTTTATTTATCAAACCGTTGTAACCTTTGGTTTATTATTTGATGTTTTTTTTTGCATTTGGGAATAGTTTTTTAGTTACAAATTAATGTTTTTCTAATATTTATATACTTGATAAATGCTTGTGAGGGTTTTCTTTATCATAATTATTGTAAAATATATATTGATTTGATATTAAAAAAAAAAAAATTAATACAATTCATTATGATTTTTCGTTTGATTTTTTTTAAAACGATTTTTGAAATATATTCCCCCGCGACATCGCGGGGTCCCGAGTCCTAGTTAAGTCAATATAAATCAAACAAACAAAATATGAAAACATAATAAACCTATTGAAGGTTGCTAGAGAATCTAATAATTTTTTCATACACCCCACACATTACTATTTTTCAAACAAACAACTTAGCACGTATAAATGTATTTGAAAGTGCCAAACACGAACCCAAGTTGGGAAGATATTATAATATTTACACACATAGAAAAAAGATTATATAAAGGACTTTCATTTTGAAGTAAATCATAACAAAAACGAAGAAACAGAAAGAGCAGCGGCAGGTACGATGAGATCCTCAAGAATGATGATGCGAATGCACAGCTTGGTTTATGTCGTGGTCTTGAGTGCCATCGCGGTTACGGTGACAGCATATCCGTACTCATCCCCTCAAACACCACACTACAATTCCCCTGTCCACAAACACGAATCACCTTATTCACCTAAAAAGTATTCCCCATATTACAGTTCATCACCACCACCTTATTATTCGCCTTTTCCAAAGGTTGACTACAAGTCTCCACCACCACCATACGTCTACAGTTCTCCACCACCTCCTTATTATTCTCCTTCTCCAAATGTTGACTACAAGTCTCCACCACCACCATACGTCTACAGCTCCCCACCACCTCTTTATTACTCTCCTTCTCCAAACGTTGACTACAAGTCTCAACCACCACCATACGTCTACAGTTCCCCACCACCTCCTTATTACTCTCCTTCTCCAAAGGTAGACTACAAGGCTCCACCACCACCATACGTCTACAGCTCCCCACCACCTCCTTATTACTCTCCTTCTCCAAAGGTTGAATACAAGTCTCCACCACCACCATACGTCTACAACTCCCCACCACCTCCTTATTACTCTCCTTCTCCTAAAGTAGACTACAAGTCTCCACCTCCACCATACGTCTACAGCTCCCCACCACCTCCTTATTACTCTCCTTCTCCTAAGGTAGACTATAAGTCTACACCACCACCATACGTCTACAGTTCCCCACCACCTCCTTATTACTCTCCTTCTCCAAAGGTGGACTACAAGTCTCCA